TTCTGCTCCGTATAAAGGTCATATAAAAAAAATGTTGTGACAATATTACAATGCCTCAAACGACGTAGTACGTACAGTCAATCTGTTTCGAAGTTCTTGAGAATGAACACACAATGCCATTTAGAAAGAGGTCAAATGAAACAATTGTTACATTTGGGATTTGTATTTATTATCAATGATAGTCCTTATCACCATTTCTTCATCATATATTGCAACTGGATGGAAGGGTGGTGAACGTGTTCGATACTCTGTAATCACTTCCGCTGTTTTCTTTGCATTTAATAACAAGTACTTTTCTTAATCTCTAATCTCAGTTCTTTGATTAATTCTAAGTTAAGTAATAAAAACATTTCAGACCCGTAAGCGCCATGTCATCTTCACATTTCACAGTGAAACAATTATTATGAATCACACCAGCGACAGTGGAGGAACGGTGGAGTGAGTGAGTGAGTTTTTTTGCAATATTCCAGCAATATCACGGCGGGGGACACCGGGAATGGGCTTCACACATTGTACCCATGTCGGGAATCGAACCCGGGTCTTCGGCGTGACGAGCGAACGCTTTAACCACTAGGCTACTCGACCGCCCCGAGGAACGGTGGAAGTGTACAAGAGAGATTATTGAGCACCGTTCACAGACACAAACTGCGATCTCACAAGGTGAGGTGAGGTGAAATTGGGTTTAACGTCGCGTCCAAGATTATTGCAGTTATATAGCGACGAGCATGCACGTGTGTGTGTGGCTTCTTGTACTAGTCCGGCCTAATGCCGTTTAGAGTGCGAGCTCACCGAGATATCATGCCGAAGTTGAACAGGAATACCCAACTCAGACACAGTATACTGACTCCGAGCCGACCAGTCCTTGTTTTAGCCCCTTAATGCCGAGCGCCAGACAGGGTAACAACAAGTACCATCTTTGAACGTCTTTTAGTTTGAAGCGGCCTGGGACGGAAACCCGGACCTTCCGCTCTCCGAGCGGACGCTCCACCACAAGCCCACGGAGACAGTCGACCTCTTTACAAGAAAAGATTATAACGATTTTAAAGTATTTTATGATATTTATAATATCATGAGATTCTGCATTAGCAAATCAGGTTGAGTGGTATTAAATACGGAGAGGAAATCTACACACACAAAATGTTCTAACAAATGAACCAGCTGTTTCTTTATGTTTATGATAGTATTTAGAAGGGTTATCGTGGCATGTTCAACGCCGCTCCTCACCCTTCAGGCAAATTCCACTGGATTAAGTAATACAATGAGGATTTGAAAAAATAACAATACGTTTAAACATTTCACGGTAATTCACGTAAGAGCATTATGTGCAGCTGTTTTTCAGTTACTTATGAACATGAACATTAGAAATCCTCCAAATCACTGTAATTCTTTCTAAACCACTTGACATAGTTTCTGAAATGCCCAACGTAGCCCTTTTCCGATACTCTCACAAAACAATTCCGGTAATATTATCAGGATCACCGACCTTACGTGTGTTTATTTTTCTGAAAGATGAGAAAGCATCTATTTCTGTTACGTCAATATGAACACCTACTGGAAGTGACTGGAAAAACAAATTCTCTTCTTTCCAAACGTTATCAAGTCGTGTTTCAAACACGTTTAGATCCTTTGCGAAAGATAGATTGTCATGTACATTTATTTCTTGCTGTTTCGTATTATATTAGATCCCAATGGAGTATTGACGCTTCTCCAAGCCTGACTGTTTTTGTTTTGTTTTTAATTACTTTAATATAAAGCAATGTTCTTTTTAATGGACTTCTGTCGCCTTCTCTGAAAGCATTTTCTTCTCATTAAGAACTGATTTTATGTCCTTAATATGTTTTTTTTCATTTGTAAGGTTTTTTTTGTTACCGGTACGAAATTTTGTCTTCACAGAAGTTTATATAATCTGTTATCACTTTGAATAATTCATCCACGCTGTCAAGACACCCCAAACCGTACACTCGAAACAAAGTTTTAGCTGATCGAAAGATTCCTTGTCCATAACTTCATTATGTCATTCGGCGTGTCTTATACATCTTCTGCCTTTAGGTTTGCCATGTAGCTCTGTGTTCTACCGTGTGTTTTTAGCTATTTTATCTGTCATGTCGTACTGCCATGTGGTATGGTTTGTTGTCTGTCATGTAGTACGGCGTGTCGTCTGTCATGTAGTACGGCGTATCGTCTGTCATGAAGCATAGTACGGCGTGTCGTCTGTCATGTAGTACGGCGTGTCGTCTGTCATGAAGTACGGCGTATCGTCTATCATGTAGCATTGCGTGTCGTCTGTCATGTAGAACGGCATATCGTCTGTCATGAAGTACGGCGTATCGTCTATCATGTAGCATTGCGTGTCGTCTGTCATGTAGAACGGCGTATCGTCTGTCATGTAGTAGGGCGTGTCGTCTGTCATGTAGTACGGCGTGTCGTCCATCATGTATTATGGCGTGTCGTCTGTCATGTAGTACGGCCTGTCGTCTGTCATGTAGCATTGCGTGTCGTCTGTCATGTAGCATTGCGTGTCGTTTGTCATGTAGTACGGCGTGTCGTCTGTCATGTAGCATTGCGTGTCGTCTGTCATGTAGTATTGCGTGTCGTCTGTCATGTAGTACGGCGTGTCGTCTGTCATGTAGCATTGCGTGTCGTCTGTCATGTAGTACGGCGTGTCGTCTGTCATGTAGCATTGCGTATCGTCTGTCATGTAGTACGGCGTGTCGTCCGTCATGACGTACGGCGTATCGTCTGTCATGTAGTACGGCGTGTCGTCCATCATGTAGTACGGCGTGTCGTCTGTCATGTAGTACGGCGTGTCGTCTGTCATGTAGTACGGCGTTTCGTCTGTCATGTAGTACGGCGTGTCGTCTGTCATGTAGTACGGCGTGTCGTCTTTCATGTAGTACGGCGTGTCGTCTGTCATGTAGCATTGCGTGTCGTCTGTCATGTAGTACGGCGTGTCGTCTGTCATGTAGCATTGCGTGTCGTCTGTCATGTAGTACGGCGTGTCGTCTGTCATGTAGCATTGCGTGTCGTCTGTCATGTAGTACGGCGTGTCGTCTGTCATGTAGTACGGCGTGTTGTCTGTCATGTAGTACGGCGTGTCGTCTGTCATGTAGACGGCGTGTCGTCTGTCATGTAGTACGGCGTGTCGTCCGTCATGACGTACGGCGTATCGTCTGTCATGTAGTACGGCGTGTCGTCCATCATGTAGTACGGCGTGTCGTCTGTCATGTAGTACGGCGTGTCGTCTGTAATGTAGTACGGCGTGTCGTCTGTCATGTAGCATTGCGTGTCGTCTGTCATGTAGTACGGCGTGTCGTTTGTCATGTAGTACGGCGTGTCGTCTGTCATGTAGTACGGCGTGTCGTTTGTCATGTAGTACGGCGTGTCGTCTGTCATGTAGCATTGCGTGTCGTCTGTCATGTAGTACGGCGTGTCGTCTGTCATGTAGCATTGCGTGTCGTCTGTCATGTAGTACGGCGTGTCGTCTGTCATGTAGCATTGCGTGTCGTCTGTCATGTAGTACGGCGTGTCGTCTGTCATGTAGCATTGCGTGTCGTCTGTCATGTAGTACGGCGTGTCGTCTGTCATTTAGCATTGCGTGTCGTCTTTCATGTAGTACGGCGTGTCGTCCGTCATGACGTACGGCGTGTCGTCTGTCATGTAGTACGGCATGTCGTCTGTCATGTAGCATTGCGTGTCGTCTGTCATGTAGTACGGCGTATCGTCTGTCATGAAGTACGGCGTATCGTCTATCATGTAGCATTGCGTGTCGTCTGTCATGTAGAACGGCGTATCGTCTGTCATGTAGTACGGCGTGTCGTCTGTCATGTAGTACGGCGTGTCGTCCATCATGTATTATGGCGTGTCGTCTGTCATGTAGTACGGCCTGTCGTCTGTCATGTAGCATTGCGTGTCGTCTGTCATGTAGCATTGCGTGTCGTCTGTCATGTAGTACGGCGTGTCGTCTGTCATGTAGCATTGCGTGTCGTCTGTCATGTAGCATTGCGTGTCGTCTGTCATGTAGTACGGCGTGTCGTCTGTCATGTAGCATTGCGTGTCGTCTGTCATGTAGTACGGCGTGTCGTCTGTCATGTAGCATTGCGTATCGTCTGTCATGTAGTACGGCGTGTCGTCCGTCATGACGTACGGCGTATCGTCTGTCATGTAGTACGGCGTGTCGTCCATCATGTAGTACGGCGTGTCGTCTGTCATGTAGTACGGCGTGTCGTCTGTCATGTAGTACGGCGTTTCGTCTGTCATGTAGTACGGCGTGTCGTCTGTCATGTAGTACGGCGTGTCGTCTTTCATGTAGTACGGCGTTTCGTCTGTCATGTAGCATTGCGTGTCGTCTGTCATGTAGTACGGCGTGTCGTCTGTCATGTAGCATTGCGTGTCGTCTGTCATGTAGTACGGCGTGTCGTCTGTCATGTAGCATTGCGTGTCGTCTGTCATGTAGTACGGCGTGTCGTCTGTCATGTAGTACGGCGTGTTGTCTGTCATGTAGTACGGCGTGTCGTCTGTCATGTAGACGGCGTGTCGTCTGTCATGTAGTACGGCGTGTCGTCCGTCATGACGTACGGCGTATCGTCTGTCATGTAGTACGGCGTGTCGTCCATCATGTAGTACGGCGTGTCGTCTGTCATGTAGTACGGCGTGTCGTCTGTAATGTAGTACGGCGTGTCGTCTGTCATGTAGCATTGCGTGTCGTCTGTCATGTAGTACGGCGTGTCGTGTGTCTTGTAGTACGGCGTGTCGTCTGTCATGTAGTACGGCGTGTCGTTTGTCATGTAGTACGGCGTGTCGTCTGTCATGTAGCATTGCGTGTCGTCTGTCATGTAGTACGGCGTGTCGTCTGTCATGTAGCATTGCGTGTCGTCTGTCATGTAGTACGGCGTGTCGTCTGTCATGTAGCATTGCGTGTCGTCTGTCATGTAGTACGGCGTGTCGTCTGTCATGTAGCATTGCGTGTCGTCTGTCATGTAGTACGGCGTGTCGTCTGTCATTTAGCATTGCGTGTCGTCTTTCATGTAGTACGGCGTGTCGTCCGTCATGTAGTACGGCGTGTCGTCTGTCATGTAGTACGGCATGTCGTCTGTCATGTAGCATTGCGTGTCGTCTGTCATGTAGTACGGCGTGTTGTCTGTCATGTAGCATTGCGTGTCGTCTGTCATGTAGTACGGCGTGTCGTCTGTCATGTAGTACGGCGTGTCGTCTGTCATGTAGTACGGCGTGCCGTCTGTCATGTAGCATTGCGTGTCGTCTGTCATGTAGTACGGCGTGTCGTCTGTCATGTAGTACGGCGTGTCGTCTGTCATGTAGTACGGCGTGTCGTCTGTCATGTAGCATTGCGTGTCGTCTGTCATGTAGTACGGCGTGTTGTCTGTCATGTAGCATTGCGTGTCGTCTGTCATGTAGTACGGCGTGTCGCCTGTCATGTAGTACGGCGTGTCGTCTGTCATGTAGTACGGCGTGTCGTCTGTCATGTAGAACGGCGCATCGTCTGTCATGTAGTACGGCATGTCGTCTGTCATGGAGTACGGCGTGTCGTCCATCATGTAGTACGGCGTGCCGTCTGTCATGTAGCATTGCGTGTCGTCTGTCATGTAGTACGGCGTGTCGTCTGTCATGTAGCATTGCGTGTCGTCTGTCATGTAGTACGGCGTGTCGTCTGTCATGTAGCATTGCGTGTCGTCTGTCATGTAGTACGGCGTGTCGTCTGTCATGTAGTACGGCGTGTCGTCTGTCATGTAGTACGGCGTGCCGTCTGTCATGTAGCATTGCGTGTCGTCTGTCATGTAGTACGGCGTGTCGTCTGTCATGTAGCATTGCGTGTCGACTGTCTTGTATTCTGTCATCCTGTCCGCCATGCTGTTGTTATCTCAGCGCTGTTGAACCAGCTGCAGCTTCTCCAATAGACATTGAACGGTTATGTATCAAATGCATCTGTCTCATCAGGTGACTCCTATATTTAATCATTTGTCTAAAAAACAATCATTTTGAACAGTTCGCAATATTCCCAACAAAACAGGGCACAACTAGGCCATATCCTGTACTAAATGAATTCGTGGCCATTATCTAAGAATAATAGCCACCCAGATCATCATGGGCGTTTAGAGCCTAAACATTTATTTTCAGAATAAAAGACGTAAGATTTAAAGTGCTATAGTTTTGTTTTATACACAAATAGTACATCCCAGTCAGTGTTAACATATTACTCCCCTAAAAGTGCACACCCACCCCTACCCCAAAAATAAATTATATCGAATCGAAAATACCAAAACCTGTATGGGTTGGGTTAATTCAATCAAATTTTTGAAAGAAATTGTAGATTTTTCAATTTGAAGGTGGCCAATCTCTCTATTTCAGAAGAAAAACCCTAAAGCAAAATTTGTACTGTTAATGGTAACAGTTTCACCCCCTTCGTCTTCATTATCCACGATAGTTACCCGTGTTAACCCGTGAAGATCCGGGGTAGACTAGGTCTTCAGCAACCCATGCTTGTCGTAAGATGCCCCAATCGGGATCGGGTGGTCAGGCCCGCTGACTTGGTTGATGCATGTCATCGTATCCCAATTGCGTGGATCGATTTTCATGATGTCAACCACTGGATTGTCTGGTCCAGACCCGATTATTTACAGACTACCGCCATATAGCTGGAATACTGCCGAGTGCGGCGTTAAACAACAAACAAACAAACAAACTTACCCGTGTTGCCACTAATTCCTTATATTATCATCTATGTTGCCCACGAATAAGTAATTAGGCCTCTTATAGTAATCACTCGGTCGGGACTCCATGGCACATAAACTCTCAAGATTGTCATAAGAGACGATAAAAGTGAGTGGTTTCAATGTGTAACAGTGTGTGACGATGTGTGCTGATTGTGTGCCAAGGTGCTCAGAAGTCGTAAAATACTTCGTGTGCACTCCATGATATTAGTAATAGGCTTTCATGACAGGTCTGCTCTCCCTGACTGAAACCTGAGATTGTTATGTGATACATCACTGAATACCATTTAGCCGAACTTTTAAAATACTGTTCATGTGTAGGCATAACGGGGCGGTCGGATAGCCGCAGTGCCTTGTGGTTAAAGCGTTCGCTCGTCACGCCGAAGACCCGGGTTCGATTCCCGACATGGGTACAATGTGTGAAGCCCTTTTCTGGTGTCCCCCGTCGTGATATTGCTGGAATATTGCTAAAAGCGGCGTTAAAACCATACTCACTCACTCACTATAACCATAACATTTGTATATATATATTAGGGGTACGTTGTTGCCTAACAATGATAATGATTGCGTTGAACTTGTGGTCCTTTCCGTACGTGTTGACAAATCCAAACGCGACGTAAACAATGAAAACATGACATTTTTGGAAAAGGACTCTAACGGGTGGGTTTGAATAATAGAATAATAGAAAACGCACTCTCAGTACTGATTAGTTCTCCTTGATCTTTGAAGGTTTATTGCCCCTGGTTTCACTATCGACGACCAGCCTACGCCTCAAAAGGTCTCATAATCATCAATGATGAGGCTATCCGAAAATACCAACTAAAGACGTGGTTAATTTCAGCCATGAAATGAAAGCAATCTCTTTGACTAAAGGGGATTTTTCACGTATGTGCGCAATTTGTTAATCAAATTTTGATTAAATGTTTGCAGCTTTCGACATTTCACTCACATATACACTAACTTTCAGCATGACAATGACCATTACATTAAACAGAACCAGAAAGTGTGAGGTCGATGATTCAGATGGCGTGAGAGTGTGAATTGGATTTAACGTCGTAGTTATTTTTATAACAGTATTTTAGACACGTGTTTCAGCGTCCCAGCTGATGTTTGAAAATCCGAAGGGATGCAGGTTTTAGACGTTTACCACTTTGGCGAATCCCAGGAGCACAATGTAAGAATGTCATAATCAGGACGAACCGGGATTCGAATACATGCTTAAAGTTCACTCACATGCAGTAGCTGCACATAAAATAACCAATTCAATATCAACCCTTGTCTCGAAGGAGGCATGGTTTATGAACATCCTTAATGTACGACTACGAGTTCCTGTGGTTCACTGTATTTCAGAACCTGGTCAGAGCTGGATATATATATATATATATATATATATATATATATATATATATATATATATATATATATAAGTGCTAATTGCAGTGTCCCTTTTGGTTCATCGTGTTCTCGTTCAGCATGTTTTCAAAATGCACGTTTTCTTGTTTTATTTTCAGCGAAGGTATGTATCCAATGTTGTCGCAATGTAGTTTTCTAATTTCTCTGAAACATATTTCTGTCTGTCAAGGTTTTATCTAGACATATCGTGTTCATTCTCGTGTAATTACACATATGGATCGAACCACGCCACAAAATAGATCGCGGCGGCTGACTCACAACAGCAGCAAAATGACACGTTCTGTTAGCCGGCGGCCTACCATGTTCCGCGTAGTATGGAATGTATACCGTGCTCTGCTTTTCGTGTATTTTCCAACAGAGGAAAGGGCAGCTTTCGATAATTGTGAAGAGGTGTATCTCTCTCACATCCAAGCTCCCCACGGTTATAATGTGAGACTCGTGAAGTGGGGGTCGCATTACAACAACGGTGATAGATCGGTCATGATTTTAATATCCACACCACACCTATAGTTGGCCCATATACACAAATAGGATTTGGCGGGTGGCAAGGCAAGAACTCTGCGCAAGATGGCTAACAACGATGATGGACAAAATATCAATAAGACACATCCGAAGGCACGAAAAAAGTGATAATAGGGTTCAAGGTAGAGTGGATGTGTTTTCCTTTTCTTTGAAACCCACTACCTTTTTCATTACACCTTTGTGTAATGACCTTTTAGCAAAATTTCAAGGAGACCTCAATGCATGTTTTGATAGTCCAAGGTTGCAGTTGAATGCTTGACAGACAGAGAAGGAGAGAGAGTATGAAAAAGACAAAGGGAGAGAGCTGGAATATAGAGAGATACCAACAGACAGGTTGAAGATACACACAGAGAGAGAGAGAGCGAGAGAGAGAGAGAGAGAGAGAGAGAGAGAGAGAGAGAGAGATGGTATATAGAGAGATACCAAAAGACAGGTTGAAGATACAAAGAGAGACAGACAGACAGACAGACAGACAGACAGATAACAATGACGATGTGGGTCATACCTCAATCCTTTGGCTGTTCTGCTGCTGACAGTATCACACTGAAAACATATGGCAATTATTAAATATGTTGTAACGCCTCTAGCAGGAAGACATATGACACAAGAAGGCTTTCCATTTTAAGTAATCGGTACAGAGTTAATAACTTGTCTCACTTCTCGTGTATATCAACACTACATTCCGAGATTTCAAAGTAAGCGTCCACCAATCGTCGTTGTTTCTTTGATCTATGAGTAATTATATATCTATCAAATCGTGAAATTGCTTCATCATGAGATCCTTGACACACTGGAAGATTTCCTATTAACACCCTCTACTAAATTTAGTCGTGGCCATTATCTAAGACTAATTGCCGTCCTTACTGTCGTGGGAGTTTAGAGCATAAACATTTATTTTTAGAATAAAAGAGATAAGATTTTGGAAGAAAGTGTTATCGTCTTGTTTTGTACGGAAATAGTACATCCCAGTCAATGTTAAAATATTTCACCGCCTTCAAAGCTTGGGATGCTGCCCAAATAGCCGCCCATTCATAGCTGATAGTCGGTGGCCTTCCAAACACAGCTTACAGTCTATGGCGTTCCAGACATAGTTAACAACCTATGGCGTTCCAACCATACAAGACGAATGTTCATACATTCTAGATGGATCCCACAGTAGATAGTCCAAACGTACGTCAGTTGTTCATGGCAAGGGTTACGATGACCGTCGTCGGCGGACGATGGCGCTGGGTATTGTGTTGTAACATATCCTTATTAGTCGACTATTGAAGCACAAAATACAAAGGGACGATTCTGCTTCGGAATATGCCCGGATCGCAGTCAAAGAGGTGGTTAGAGTCTTGAGGATTTAAACAAAAATGTGTCGATTGTCTAGGATAGTGACAGTCGAAGGTCAAGGTCAATGGGAAATGTAAAATAGGCGCCTAGAAAACTATTAAATAAATATTGTGTTTGTACAAGAACCATACACTAGATATATTTTTTAATTCTAACTGTTTAACACACTGGAACTGTTACCGATGTGCTGATTATTATTTAAGTTGCATATCCCTTTAAGTTATTAAGAAAAGTTTCCAAAACCGGAAGGAAACTTTAGGTATACGGATTTGCACCTTAATCTCTACTGAGTCAAACAAATCACGATAGTTATTGACATGATACTGGCAATTGTCATCAACAGTAGAGTGGCCAACTGACTAATTCAACCAGATATTTGAAAAAAAGAGAATTTATAAGTGTAGGTGACTCATCGCTTTATTTCAGATAAATATACTTTTTGTTTATTATTAGAAAAATAATCAAGAAATGTGAATTATTAGGGGTAACACTTTGTTGCAGTTGCAGTTATGCTCAGTTACAACTTCTGATACTTCTGAGTATCGTTTCTGTATCACTACGGATTCTTCATACATGTATATCTATTGATATACTATTAACAACACCTTCAATGTCATAATTCAATCTTCATAATTAAGCCATGATACTGACCCGCGTTGCCACTTAATCTTTATCAACTATGTTGTTAACTTTCAATTAATCAGGACTCTTATAGTAAAACAATCTTAAAATCTTTTCTTAAAACAAAAAAAAATTTAATGGATGACTGGCTGAGTTTGGTTTTACGCCGCCAAGGCGTGTCAGCTTTTTGTAGTAAGACAGAAGAGCCCATTGTGATGCAAACGTTTTGTGGCATTGGGGATAAC